GGTGGAAGATCTGTGGTTTTTGTTTTGTTTTGTTTGAGACTGTAATATATACCCCTGGCTAGCCTCAAACTTGCTGTGTGAACTAAGCTTGCCTAAAGCTCTAGTTACCTAATTCGTATTTCAGGTTCTAGGCTCTGTCCCACGCAACACAGTTTGGAATTCCCACTGATGTGGGCTACAGAATGCCTGTGGATTCTGGCTGGAATGTCCAAAGCATGCCCTTTCTGGTGGTCCTTCAGCCCTCTGAAGAATGAATGGTGAAAGAGCACACTGTGTGGCCTCCAGCTACCCTTGGCATGTGCTATGCTTTGGGTATGTCCCTGAAATTCATGGTTCAAAAACGTGTTGTGAAGGGGCTTAACACAAGGTCTTCTATAGCTACTCTTGAAATCCTGTGTAGCCTGCTCCTGAACTCCTGATTCACCTGCCTCTGCCCTCAGAGAGTCAGTATCACAGACAGAGGCTACCAAATCTGGTGTTTGTTTATTTTGTTTTTTGCTGCATAACTCCAGCAGGGTCTTGAATTCCTAATCCTCCTGTCTGCAGCTCCCAAGTACTGGCATTACAGGCACGTGCCATCATGCCCAGCTGCCAAACTTTCTTGGTGGGATTACTGTAAAGATAAAATGAGATAAAAATAAGAACATTCTCCTGTGCCTGGCCCATGAGAATCGCTCAATGAATATTGTCTGCAGTTAGCCATCTCTAGGGTTCCTTCCAACTCCAATACTTCAGGACTTGACTTGGTGATGGACTGCCTACGTGGAGATGAAAGGAAAAAAATGACAGGGTTAGGTCTAAGGGCCTGTCTGGATAAAAGAGCCATCCACTCTGGGCGCCAGGAGCCAGGAGCTGACCGCTCACTCTGCGTCAGGTATGCCTTGGACGCTGATGACCTAGGTCTCAGTTTCAACAATGCCTCATCTACATCTAGGTCAGAGAACTTTTGTCATTCTGGATGAAATGCGTGTGGCTGTTCTGTTGCTGTCAACATTTTTTAACATCTGAACCCGGCAAAGATATGAGTGAGTGTGGCTGAAGTGAAGATCAGGTGTCCTTGGTGCAGCAGCTACAAACACATCTGGGAACCAGCTGTTTTTGACCACCCTGCAGGAAGCCTTTTCTCAGTGCACATCTAATGATTGGCTCACAAACACGGTTTTTTGGGAGCGTCAGGGCTGACATTTGTGGTAGTGGGGACAAAACCCAGAGCCTGGTATATTCTAGGAAGGCTCTCTGTCACTTTGCTTTGTTCCCAAACCCACTGCTGACATTTGAAGGTCACCCATGAAATGTGCCTAAAGCTTTGATGCTGACCTAAGCCAAATAATTCAGCCTCAGAGCCTTGGGAGTATTTTCCTACTTTCCAATCCATTAAATGCCCTTCTACAAAGCATGGAGCCACCATTGACCTGATACTCTCCCAAAGGATGCGTGTTTTGCTGGTTCCCAGCTTTCCTTTTCCTAGTGCAGAGTGGTTGTAAAATTCTGCCTTGTAGAAGACAGACATTCTCTCTAGGCAAACAGCCACATTGTTGGTTAAGCCATGGCTCACCTCTACCTTTCTACCTTTGTCCTTTTGAAAAGGTGTTCAAGGACAAGCCAGGTGCCTTAGCTCATACCTGTAATCCCAGCACTCTGGGAGGCAGAGGCAGGTGGATCTCTGTAAGTTCAAGGCTAGCCTGGTCTACAAAGCAAGTTCAGGACAGCCAAGGCTACACAGAGAAACCCTGCCTCAAAAAACAAACAAAATAAAAAAAGAAAATGGGTCATCTCACTTGGCAGCAAGCAAGTCATCAGAGAAGAGGTGGCTAAAGGAATTATGGAAGCTTTGATGCTTTTGTGAATTTAAAAAATAGTGTCTATCTATCCCAGGTTGGTCTCAAATTCCAAGGATGACACTGACTTCTGAGTCTCTTGCCTCCATCATCCAAGTGCTGGGAATATAGAAAATGTCCCACCACATCCAGTTTTATGAGATGCTAGGGATGGGGGTTTTATTGCTGTGAAGAAACACCATGGCAACTCTTATAAAGTACATTTAATTTGGGCTGGTTCACAGTTTTAGATGGTTAGTCCATTATTGTCATGGCAAGAGGCGTGGCAGCGTGCAGACAGGCACAGTGCTAGAGAAGGAGCCGAGAGTCCTACATCTTAATCTGAAGGCAGCAGGAGGAGACTGGAGACTGTGCTCCACACTGGGCATAGCTTGAGCATAGAGGAGCTCAAAGCCCATCCCCATGGTGACACACTTCCTCCAACAAGGCCATACCTAAAGCATTCAACACATGAGTCTATGGGAGGCCGTACCTATTCAAACCACCACAGGATGGAACCTAGGGCTTCATTAGTGTCATGTAAGCACATCAGCAATGGAGTTACATCCTCACCCAAAGAACCGCACTATGAACGCAATGAATATTTATTTACCTTGGGGTTCTGTTAACATTGCTGTTAGCATTTCCTATTACCTTGTGGTTTCCCTGGTGCAGAGATCTTGTTGTACTGGGATAAAGCTTTGCAGCCCTCATGCACAGTCCCCAGAATTTTTGCTACAGTGGCACTGGGCAGGTTTCAAGATGAACTATGAGTCCTTTCCTGTATATAGTAAACATTACTAATGTGTGTTAAGAAAACAACCATTCTGTTCAAAACAGAAGAAGCCAAGAGTTGCTTCTTGAACCTCACTTCCGGGATTGTTTTTGAGTAACCCAGGGTCAATTTGTGACAGGACCCTCTTAGGGCATGACTAAAGAAAAGACAGTCTGCTCGGCTCAGCTCAGCTCAGCTGTCTGACCTTTGGGTGATTCGCTCTTTAATGAGTTTCTCTCACATAGGCCTCATGAGCTGTACAACCTCCTGCTGCCTTCTTGAAATGAGCAGAGGAGAGGGAGGGGTTTCTGAAGACAAGAGGTTGTATGAAAATCTGTTCCTGACAACCTGTAATTTCACTGGCTGAGCTTTAGCTCAGGAATATGAACTACTTAACAACCACCACCACTACAACAAAAATCCTGTTTGACCTAGTGAGGGCACTCAAAGGCTAAGACCAAACTGAAGACCTGAGTTCGATCCCTGGGACCTGAATCATAGGAGAAAACTGCTCACAAAAATTGTCCTGACTTTCGTACGTATGACATGACATGCACAATGCCTCTACAAATGCATGTGTACACACACACACCACAGGATATTTTTTCAAGTTATATCCAAAGAAGAAACAAACGTTCATAATAAAAGTTCAGATTTTCTTCTCCTGGAAAACTGATGACTCTGATCTCAGACTAAGGTAAAATTTTCAGGGGGAGGTGGTGGAGAGAGACTATAAACCTCTTGAAAAGTTCTAGCTTTGATCATTTCCTAAGACCAAATAAACCCTTAAATTCACTCCTGCCTTAGAAACTATCAAGCTCAGGATGGACAACTCAGAACTAGAGTTCCCCCCTTCTCTCTCTCTCTCTCTCTCTCTATTTGTCTCTCTCTCTCATTAGTGTTATCTATCTGTCTATCTATCTATCTACCTACCTACCTATCTACAGACAGACAGAGTTCCCTTTTTTGACAGAGGGCTTCACACAGCTCACACTGGTTATGTAATTGAGAAAGATCCTTGAACTCCTGGTCCTCCTGCCTCTACCTCTGAAGTGCTGGGATCTCAGGCATATAGCACAACAGTGACTTAAACAGTTTTCTCTCTTCCCCCCTTTCTAAAAGAACTGAATCTTTAAAAGAATTTATTTTTTAAACTTTATTTTTATTTTATGTGTTTTGGTGTTCTGTCTGCAAGTATGTCTGTGTAAGGGTGTCAGATCTTGGAGTTACAGACAGTTGTGAGCTGCCTTGTGGGTGCTGGGAATTGAACCCAGGTCCTCTGAAAGGGCACACAGTGCTCTTAACCACTGAGCCATCTCTCCAGCCCCTCAACAATACTCTTGCTAGAAGCTGTCAACACAGAAGACTAAGTCTGAAAACCAGCCTAACGGGCAGGTGCAGAATCAAGGAGCTGAGAGTGGGTGTTCACTCACACCATTTTCTTTTTTTACGTGTAGCTTTTGGTGGGGGATCCATGGGCTGAGCTAATGAGCACCCTGGCCTGATCATATCAAAAATGAAGTAAGACAGAAAAATGAACATGTGATTGGTGACACAGACCTCTTCCTAGAAGCTGGTTGCCATCGTGAGAGGTGCAGGTGAGGGGAACTGACCTCTCAATACACAGGAAAACCAGACTTGGGACCCAGGTCCAGGAATAATGCTGACTGATGTGGAAAGAGGTCTGTCTGGACTCCAAAAACAGCAATGATCCACAAACCTGACCCTCAGCTTGAAAGCTACCCCTTCAGGGATGTCAACAGTTCTTCCGGAAGTGTAACCAAGTCCTTGCTCTACGCCTGAAGCCACTCTTCTCCAGATGAACCCGTCAGCTCTGTGCCACACCTTGGTACTGATACTCGAGGATTATGCTGGAACCCTCAACATGGCTGTCCCCAGCCAGTGCCATCTATCCCCAGCCCCTCTCTGCCTAGTAAGCCAATCAATCTGAGTCTGTCGAAATGGCAACCAAGTTCCAGACCTTCCCTGACTGTCAATCCCCCGGCGCTGGAAAATAGCAGAATACAGGAAGCACTGAACTCTGCGAACATTTCAGGTGGGTTATTTAAGGATTACCAGAATCTAAGTCTCTGTGAGATACACCCCAATTGCAGGCATCTTAAATTGCTGTTGATTGGTGGGTAGAGGCTGAGCACCTGTCTGTAACTGTGGCTGCAGCAGATCACTTCCTCTTCCGGCATCCCTGGGCAGCAGTATTTGCACAGCATATGCTCACACAGAGACACACACAATGCACACACATAAAACTAAACAATGAAAATGTCTTTGAAATGAAAACGGTAACAAGGATGGGTGGTTACTTTCATGTGGAATCTGCTGTGTAATGTTCAGAGCCCCTGCACCGTGTTCATCTGAGTGATGGTCAAGACGGAGCCACCTTAACTTACCGAGCGTCAGTGAGCTGGGGAATGTCGAGTGAGGCTGGGTGGCAGGGAGCAAACCGTTCTTCTAATGTCTTGGTTACCTGGGCTGTGAAATAGAAAAGCTGCCGTCAATAACCCAAACGATGCCAATAAGAACCATTCACAGGGCAGCACGAGGATGGCTGAGTGTCGAGGGTGTTGGGTTGAGACACCGCTGACAGGGGCCAGCGAGATGGCTCAGCCAGCCCACTCAGAGAGTAAAGGCACCTGGCACCCACCCTGACCACTGAATTCAGTCCTGAGGACTGATGTGATGGAAAGAGAGAACTGACACCTACAAATTGTCCTCTAACCTCCATGTGTATGCTGTGGTACACACACCCATCCCAACCCTCCCCATCCCCACACAAAGACGTGCCAAATAAATAAATGTAATAAAAAGGTTTTCTCTCTCTCTCTCTTTTAAGAATTACTGATGAGAATGGCGGAGGAGAGGTAGGGAGAAAAACCTGTTATTGTCATTCATACAGGGATAATGTAACTAAGCATTATGGTACACTGAGAAAAGAGGTGACATCCTTTCGATAGTTTTTTCCCTTTGCATCTCACTCTGACTAGGAGAGGAAGAGGAATAGAGAGAAAACCCTTACAGAGGCAACACGATGACAAACTCAGCTCTGCTGCCCATTTGCTTTGTGACAGGGTCTTATGTAGACCAGACTGGCCTCAAACATACTATATGGTGAGGCTGGCCTTGAACTCCCAATCTTATTGCCTCCAGCTCCCAAGTTCTGGAATTACATGAGAGACACCACCATGGATCTTTTGTTGGTTGGTTGGTTTTGTTTTGTTTTGTTGTTTTTGTTTTTCAAGACAGAGTTTCTCTATGTAACCTTGGCTATCCTGGAACTCACTCTGTAGACGAGGCTGGCCTCATACTCAGAGATTTACCTCTCTCTGCCTCCTGAGTGGCGGGGTAAAAGGCACATGCAACCACAGTGCATCTTGAGTGTTCTATGTGTTTCTTCAGCTTTCCAAGCCTTTTCAGCTGGCCTTTCTGCTCACACATACAGGCCTCCTTAACTGTTTGGTTTTGTGGCCACTAAAACAGTTTTGAGTAGCCAGGTTCTGTACAGCAGATTTTATTATATAATACAGCTCCACAGAGAATGAATCAAACTGTGACAAGAGCCTCACTTCTGGCCCTACCAAGAAAGACCACAGCCTGCCTCTTGGAAAAGGATTATGAATTAGACTAACTCCTGGTGTCCAACTCAGTAAGCATTTGTTCCAAAGTTCTCCCTAGTGCAGGAGCGAAGCTAACTAAGCTTAAACTTCTGATTAGCATACCATGCTTGAAGGAACTTTGACCCACAGACACTTGGCATGGCCTTGCTTCTCGGAGTCCAACCTGTGTCACGAGTGCCCATTTCAAGGGTAATAAAGAACCTGACTGTTTGCTCACAGCAAACGGAGGTGGTGCCATGTCATTACCTGACTTTTATCTCCCTGTCCACCAAACCCTTGACAAAGGAAGTATGCAGCCCACAGGTCAGCTTTCCAAATGATCAAAATGAAAGGGAACAGATTTCTAGACAGAAAAACGCCAGTGTTCTACCTGGCATTTTGAAACATCAGTTTCTTAAGAAGTATGTTTGTGGTCCCAAGATCAAGGCACTTGGAGTAGCGATCATGTGACTGGAAGGCACTGAAAGGTTCCTGGGCTCCTTTTTATTGACATGTTATAAAACAGGAATACAAGGAAGAAACCACAGATGCTGAGAGTCCACGCCCCTCATAAGGACGCAGTCCTGTTGCGTTCATTTGCTAAAGCCCCAGCCCTCAGGGGCTCAGAATGGGACTGTATTCAGAGATCAGATCTTCAGAGCAGTGATCTAAGCTAAATGAAATTCCTAGGATGCGTCCTGATATAATACATATGGATTCCTTACAAGAAGAGGTCTGAGGACATAGACCACGAAATGACAGTGCAGGAAGACAGTCATCTTGGGCCATCAAGATGACTCACCAAGTAAAGGCCCTTGCCACCAGACCTTAGTTTTGGTCCCTGGGACCCACATGGTGAAAGGGGAGAACCAACTCCTACAAGTCGTCCTCTGACCCCCATGGATGCCCTGACACCCAGCAATAAATAAGTAAGCGCTAAAAAAAAAAAAAAGTTAAAGGCAGATGCTCTGATCTCGAATTCCAGGTTCTTCTACAATTATGGTGACATCAACTCCTGCTGCAGAAGCTGCTTGTCTGTGGTAGTTTCTTACCTAGTGAAACCAACCTATGCCAACTTCCCACACCCCACCCAATACCATGTCCCAGAACTAGCATGCCAAAGATGAGCACAGATGACTAAGCACACAATTAAAGGACTAAAGTGGACAGTGAGGAGTGGGGGAGGGGGGCACACCGTAACCATCAAACGTATAACCTCTACAGTACCATAAGGCCACGTAAAAGACAACCTTGGCTTGACCATGCTGATGGTTCCTCAATTTACAATTTTTTGGCGAAGGTAGTGCAGGACATTCATGCTTTCAGTGCAGATTAAATGAACACCTATTCTACACCAGGTCCTTTTGCCAAATGCAAGGAATAGCCAACTGTGGATCAATGGATGTATTTCCTGTAGCCTTGGCACCCAGACCAGAAATATTAAGTTGGAAAGACAAAGCCACTGCCCTCTAAGTGGGAGCAGATTAACAGGACATGGGATTGCAGGGAGGCCATTATAAAATGCTGAGATGCCAGCTAGCATGTTCAAGGAAACCAGGGAGGCAGGAATTTCTCCATCTAGACTAATCAAGGAAGATGAGGATTGAATCATGAAGGATGAGTCGATATTTCCATCAGAATGACGAGAGGACATTTTCCAGAGTTCGTGGGAAAGGAGGGGACAAGGGACGTGACAAGAAGAGTATCCAGTTCGGCAAGCGAGATGGAGAGTGGGAGGGCCTGAGGCTGAATGAACAGAGAAACCAGAATTCATATCTGATGGCACAGGGAGCCACTGAAGACTTGTAGTCTCGAAGGAAGCCTTCCTGGAATTGAATGGAGGAGCACTCTGACCACAATGTGGAGGAGTGCTGAGGGACCTGGGCGCAGGGGTGCTCGGGGTCAAAGCTAGAGACGCGGAACTAGAATGGTCAGTGTGTTCAGCCATGGCCAATGCAGACGCAGCCTAGGGCATCACATTCACAGGTGGGGGCACTGCGTTTTAGAGGAAGGGAAAGGGAAAGAAGTGTCTGTGGGGGGAACAAAGCAAGGGAGGGAGTAAAGGAGGGGGTGAAACAAACATATGGACTACTTTGACCATTCATTAGCCCCGGCTGGCACAGAACTATGCAGATGAGGATGACCTTGAACTCAAGATCTCTCTGCCTGGAAAGATCCATCCTCTTAAGTACTTGAAGTTTAGTCATTTACCCATATGTTTCCAAAAAAAAAGGACTCTACTTTAGCCATCAGAAAGCAAACCTCCTTTTTCCTACCTGTTCCTGAAGCAGGAATGCGCCCACTTTCCTTACACACCTGTCAATCTGCAGAGGTAAGAAAGAGTGGCACTTCCTTCACAGGGAGGATTCTTGAGTTAATTAGCCTAATGTGTGAGTGCAGTGGGTGCTAATTAAAGCAGAAATAAACACTGAAAAACAAATGGGAGACTAATGATTGTGTAATTAAATATTGCTCTCCCTCTCAGTGAACATAAGCCAGACTAAAACAACGACCAAGATAACAAAGGGTTAAAAAAAAAAAAAAACCTATTTACTTGTCTGGAGATATGCTGGGTTTGATTTCCCTGGCTCTCTCCCAGGCTCTCACACAGCCTTCAAGAGCGGACCAATAATAAATGTCTTCACAGCGTTTTGGCTAAGGTAAGACTTTGTAGAAAAATAATAATTCTGAAGGAACATTAGAATTTTCAGGCTGAAGAGAAGCCAGACATTAAATCTTGCATCTATCAGCCAAGCATTGGAAGGCTGAGTCAGGAAGGAGACAGTGAATTTGAGGCCAGCCTGGGCTACATGGAGAACTCCAATCAAGCCTGAGCTACGAGGTGGCTCTCAGTCTCAACTCCCAGCACTTACACACACTAGTAACCTTAAAACTTGGGAGGGGGTGAGGGGAAAGCAGGAGAGTGGGCAGATCCCTGGAGAACCAGCTCAGTCTAGCCAATAGAGTGCTGTCCTGTTCACAGTGAGAGAGCTCAACTATAAAAACGAGGTGGGTGGTAAGAGCAAGTCGACTGCACAGGTACAAACACACAGAGAACACACACACACATACACGCCCGCACTGAAGTGTAATAACTGTAAATGACATTACAGTAAAGACTGAAGGTAGGAAAGGTAGAGGAGAGAAGGCCCCGTGAGGAAGTGGATATTTATATCCCAAAGAAAGGGGGGCGCATGTGCAGGCCTGAACACATCCCCTCTTTGTGCGGGCGAAACTAGGTAGGGGTGTAAAACGGCTTCCTTACGAGAGAGCCATTTTGAAAAAGTCCAAAGTCTTCGCTCTCCAAGAACAGTACTTTCTTAACCTGGCTTCCCTGGACAAGCTGCCCTCTTGTGGTTCCTGGACACAAAAGCAGGCAACAAGCCCAGCCTGTTCACCAACGCCCAGTAGGAGACCCGAGGATGGGTAAGCCACATGCTTCTATGTGTGAGGGGATGTGACTGTCATGGGCTAGGGGCACAGCTTAAAGTCACTACAGAAATTGCATTACCGTAAAATAATATGGTTTGAGGCTCACACATTCCACAGATGATTTAATCTCAATGTTAACTTCGACTTAATTTGAATATGCTACTACCTACTTTCATACTGGCAAGGTGGAGCCAGCCAGCCTATCAAGAGCAAGCACAGACCTCACCCACGACAGTGCCAAGAAAGCAGAATTGCAAGTTCATATTCTGCCTTCTGTGGGCATGACTCAGGAGTCGCACAGTATCTTTGCACCAAGAAAACAAAAGTAACCAAATGGCATTCAACTTTGTTTCCAAAAAAATTGATATAGGGAATCCAGGCGTCCCAAGAAATACTTAGCAAGAAAGAGATGGAAGCCCCTTTGGCGTCCTGGGCCTCTAACCCCAG